GGGGTCCCAGATCGTCCCGAGAGGCCGCCGGAGACCCGAGGTGTGACCCGGAAGCTGCTCCTCTCGCGGGGGGAGCCCAGCGGCCCCCCATCGCCCACTAATCGCCAGTGGGAGCTTGATAGCCCATCTCGCGCAGAAGCGACGTGCGGATGCGCTGCCAGAGGCCTAGCGCCGATCCACCGGCAGCGCGTCGCCAGTTCAAGCTTGGTGTCCCCACCCCCTCCGATAAGCCTGCCCTCCTATCGGACCAGCAGGAGGCATATCAAATAAGCAAGCATCCCGCCAACATGTGCCACACGGAGATCACTTATCCCCCGTGTGGCCCCAGGGGCGCCACGGACGTTCGGGAGCTCTTTAGGACCCTCTCCCTGTCGGTTGCGCACAGTCAACCCGCATAGTAAGGATGAGCCAGTCCGTGCATCCTTCCTCTTTGGCCCGTCTGGCCGCTTTCGCTGGCCGCGCCCCCCGCCCCGCTCGCAGAGTGTCGACGTGGCTTTCCAAGGCCCTTGCATCCTTACGGTGCGTCTTTCTTATGCGGTTTGACTGTAGGACCCTCTCCCTGGCGGTGGCGTTGGTGGTTTTGGTGTGGCACCCGCCGGGGGAGGGACAGGGAAGGCCGTTCGGGAGGTGGCAGGCAAGCAACGTTGCTTGGAGCGCCTTTTTGTAGGGAAAACTATATTCTATATTCGATGCCGTTTTTCGTGGCCCGCGGGACGGCATCAGAGCTCATATTACCTTAGATGTTGGTCGTTGAAGTAGGTATCTTCTGATATCCAGATCCCAACGTAATCTAGGCTTAAGTCGGGCCTGTCCCTCTGCAGGGGGAATATTCAAAAATAGTCAAACAAATAGACTGGGAACTATTGTTTGACAATTGTTTGACTATGGTGTCGAATTGTTAGTGTATTTTCGATGTTTCGCCCAAGATCCCCTTTTGTGGGACACGCCCGACTTAAAGCTAGGCGCCTTCCTACCTCAGTCATCGAGCGCTCCTTCCTCTTCCTTCCCCTTCAGGGGGCGGCCGGGCGCCCAATCCACGTTTAACGCCTTCCTGCTTGATGTTTTTACCCTTAAGTCGGGCCTGTCCCTCTACAGGGGGAATATTCAAAAATAGCCAAACATAGTATCGGGGACTATCTTGTTAGCATGTTTTGACCATTTTGGCGTATTTGATGGATATTTTTATGCTTCGTCGAGAATCCCCCTGTAGGGGGACGCGCCCGACTTAATTCTACCCACTCCTTCCGACCGACGGGTGGTGGAGCAGAAAGCCAGGACCCTCGAAGGTAGGCAGGGAATATCGAAGACGCCCTCGAGGGCGCGAAGGTATTCGCGCTTCGCGGTTCGGCTCCGATTCGTCCTCGTCCTCCCCTTCTCCCCTGGGAGGCGGCGCGAGAGCGCGAAGTTGTTCGCACTTCGCGCTTCGCGCAGCGCGAAGCGCGAAGCTGGGAGCCCTTGAGAACATAGCCCAGGCTGTTCTATGGCCAGCTCTCTAATCTTGCACGTCTGCGGCATCGTGCTTCCCCGTGCTCGCTCGCAGGGCCCGTGCCTCTCTCCCGCCTGGGCCTGCTGGAGCCGGGCGCGGAGACTTGAGTTCGATCCGGTTTGGGGCGCTTCGTTGGCGATGCGATCGCTTTCCGATTCGACCCGATTTCGCGATTCGATCCAGCTCGGGCCTGCAAGTCACCACCCACCAAACCACCCCAACCCAACCCGAAGGCCTCAATTGGCCCTCCATTTCCAGTGTGGGGGTGGGGTCGGGGAACACTGGAAAACACATATGGAACCCGCACCCCCCCCCCAACCCGACATTGGGGTTTTCGGGTTGGGTTGGGGTGGTCTGGTAGGTAGTCAGCAAGGTGCCTTGCATCAAGATCTTTTATTGTACGTGTCTGCTGCAGCGTACCTCCCCGTTCTCGGGTGCAGGATCAAGCGGAGCAGAGACGTCCACTGCGTTAGGCTGTGCTGGAGCTGTAGTGGCTGGGTTTTTTTACGCCCGCGAGGGTGGACCAGGAGGAGGAGGATGAGGAAGAGAACAACGAGGACGAGGAGGAGCGGAGGTGAGAAGGAAGAGTGCGGAGGGAGGTAGAGAGGGTTTCTTATCGTGCGTGTCCGCTGCATCGTGCCTCCTCTCCCTCGCGCGCAGGACCGTTCGAGGGGGGGTTCGACCGCTTGAGGGGGTCGGACTGCCTGAGGGGGTGGGATCGGTGGGCGTGGGGGGCAGCACGGGTTGTCGGGCGGGGTTGCATGGGAGGGCGGGCATATGGAAGAATCTTGAGTAACGTGCGTATCTGCTGTGTCGTGCGGACCCTTTCCTCGGCGTCACCCCACCATACTAGTACTGTGTGTGTGCGTCGCCCCGCAGGCGAGACGCGCGCGCCGAGAACTCTCATAGCATGGGCTCTGTGGCGGGCACATCCTCGCCATACCGCTTGCTCGGCATCGCTCGGACGTGTGCATTTTTTCTCGGCGAGTACCATACAGGACCATCCTGGACCATCGAGCAAAACAAAACAAAACAAACACGCACGAAACCGAAACATGCACGGGAAATGGACGTCCGAGTGACGGCAAGGCTTGGGAAACGATACATATATAATATATATATATATATAGATATATTACACGATGGTTATGCTGTATGTTCGGGTCGGGCGCACGCCTCCAAGAAGGACGCGCAGTGCTAGCATGTCCTTGTGCGTCCCCTTCCTCGCGCGCAGGACCCGTACCCGCCTCTCTCCCTCCGCGCCCGCGTACGTGGGCGGTGGGCGGCGAGGGCAGCATCGGCGGTCGCGGCTGCCTGAGAGCTGACGCCTCGTATAAGCACATGCAGCACAGCGAGGCATCATATGAGCGCCAGAAGAAGACGGGGCCGATCGGAGGAGGGAAAGGTACCCATACTGCTGCCAGTGCCTCATTTCCCCTTTTTGGGGGGCCTCTTGGGAGGCCGGCATCGCCACCGCTGGATTCGCTTTGAAATTTTGGGCAGAACGCACCCCGGTCAGAGCCCCGAATCATCAGGGGTAGCTCGGGTCAGGGCTAACTCGGGTTCGTTTTTCGGGATTCCGAACCCGACTTACCCCGGACCCGACTTACCCCGGATAACTCGGGCGTCCAGAGCCCCGCATCATCAGGGGTATCTCGGGTCAGGGCTAACTCGGGTTCGTTTTTCGGGAATCCATACCCGAATCACCCCGGACCCGAGTTACCCCGGATAGTTCGGGCGCCCAACCCGGGAGCGGTCCAGGGAGCAGCGGCATCGGTACTTTTTGGTTTCCCCCCAGGCTGGGGTCGATTGCGCCGACATCGGCGCGTGAGCGTGCCGCGTAGCGTGGTGCGCCAGCACCCTCGTGTCCTAGTGTGGCGCGCCGCGCCGGCGGCCCGCGTAAGCCGCGGCGTGGGGTCGCTGCGTCGTCTCCTTGGCATCGCTCAGACGTGTGCATTCTTCCTTCGACGAGGACCATCGAGGAGCATCCTTGATCATTTGGCGAAAAAGCCACGCACGAAACCGAGAAAAACACAGGGAATGGACGTCCGAGCGATGGCCAGTGTCTCTTGCCGTCTCTCGCGCGTGTGTGCAGCACCCCGCAGCGACGGACGAGAGTCAGGGGGCGGGCGCGGGGCGGGTCGCGGGCGGGTCTTGGCGCGGGCGCGGGGTGGTTTGTGGCGCGGGCGCGGTTCCAGCATGTTGGAGTCCCCCTCCCATCAGTTTGGAAGCTGGTGACTTTCATCATCGGGGTCACTTGGTGCCTCGCGGCACGGTGGCGGACCCGTGCATGCCATGTCTGTGCAATTCGCCACCAACAAAATAGCGAAACATCACGACGAGCACTAGACCCTATCGTTCTGTGCGAGTCCTTCCAGGCCTCCCCAGTGGGGTTCGAGTAGATGGGGGGGGAGGATCGCGCGGCATCCCCGACGCATCGCCGATGCGGGTCGATGCGGAGTCCGCTTTTCTCCACGCCGACGACGCCGATGCATCGCCTACGTCGCCGATGCGGTGCGACCCTCCGACCCCGCCTGCTCGGACCCAATTCGGGAGGCTGCCAGGTCCCAGGGGCCGAGTCCGTGCGAAGCCGCCCGGCGCGGAAGCGTGGCAGCGCCCGGGTCTCGGGGGCCCCCCGGCGCGCGCCGAGTGGCCCCGCGACGGGGCTCCATCGACTAGACGTAAGAGCGACCTTTCGCCGGAGTGACCTCTGGTGCGGGCACAGGTGGGCCCTCAGATGGCTGAAAACGAAGCAGTAGCAGCGGCTTGTGCGCCCAGGTTTGGTCTCCCCGCGGCCCCCAAAAAGCCGCGCACCAAAGGTCACTCTTACCCAGGGTCATTCCTGCGTGTAGCCGACTCAAGAGACGGGGGTCAATGAAAACGGGGGTCAGCCACAGCGCCGGATCTTGCGGGATCCTGCGGGGCCAGGGTCGCGTGAGCCCGTGCAGGGGTGCAGGATCCTGCAGGATCCTCCTGGCAGGATCCTGCAAAGCCTGACCGACCCGGATTCGCGTTGACCGGGGTCAGTGATCCGAGGCGGGGATTCATCCATAGCCACCGCCTGGAGGGTCGACCTTCGCGGACCTCCACAGGCGGTGGATATGGACATATTCGGGCCCCTGGGGTGCTGGTTGGTGCTTCGCGTGTTCCCTTCCCTTCCCTTTCTCCCCCTCTCCAAAATATTGCGCTGGGAAAAATATAGTCGGGCCCCTGGGGGCCAACATACATCCACATCCGCCCGCTGGGGCACCAGGACAGCGGTTCCCAGGCGGTGGACATGGAGAAGTCCCCGCCTCGCACGTGTGAGTCGGGCCGGACGAAAGGGGGGATTGGGAAAGGGGGGGTTACGAAATTTGCTGCATGCAGCTGGTTTCGGCCTCACCGAGGGGCCCATTCCTCGATACATAGCCGCCTCCGGCGCCAGGAGGCGCCGGGAAAGTCAGCTACGTGAGCTGATTCTCAAACCCCCCCTTTGCGCCCGACCCGAGTGCGTCCCCGACCGCGGCGCCCGCAGACCTCGAGCTGCAGGACATGTGGGGCGAGGCCGAGTCGGACGAGGAGCTGGAGCAGCTGCGGGCCCAGGTGCAGCAGCGGCGGGCCACCGCGGAGGAGCCCAGGGGCCAGGCGGCCACCTTCCGAGGAGGAGGAGGAGGAGGAGGAGGAGGAGGAGGAGGAGGAGGAGCTGGGGAAGGAGGACAGCGAGGGGGGAGGAACGGAGGACTCCTATATACCTCGCCTCGATCGGCGGCGAGCCGGGGGGGGCAAGCGAGAGGGGGCGGGCCTTCGCAGACGGCTCGGAAGTCCCCCGGGGCCCCCCGAGAAGCTCTCCTCGGGGGCCCCCAAACGGGGTGGTGACCACACCGTGCGGTGAGTCGGTGGGGATTCGGGGTCACCGCACGGTTTTGGGACTCGGGTCCCTCTCCGAGGACGTCTCGGGCGACAGGGGCCTCCAGGGTCCCAAAACCGTGCGGCGACGGACCGTGCGATGAGGTCTCTTGGGGTTCCGAGGTTACCGCACGGTCTGTCACCGCACCGTTTCTGTACCCATCGGTCGCTGAAAGTAGGTATATGTGGATTCCCAGAACCCAATCTGCTTCAAGCGCCTTCCTGCTTCAAGAGTCGATCTGGTGTGGCTGTGGTTTGCTATGCTGTGGGCGGGCCAGAACCCAGTCTACTTCATTCGCCTTCCTACTTCATGTTTGTAGCTGCTTCTTCCGACTGGCGTGCAAGATTGACCTTCTGTTGGGGTGACCTTTGGTGCGGGCCCAAAAGGGTCTCCCGATTGCTGAGCGCGAAGCGGTAGCAGTTGCGTGCGCGCTAGGTTTTTGCCCCTTCGCACCCCCTCCCCATAAAGCCGCGCACCGAAGGTCATTCTTGCCTTGGGCCACTTTTGCGTGCAGTCGGTCAGTAGACTGAACTGAGGACCTCTTCGGACTCATCAATATCGGAGTATTGGAGCATCCAAATCGAATGGGATCGAGCCATCCGTAATCGATATCGGATCTGGTCACAAGGTCGGAACTGGGGAAACCATGACATACCGAGACTTCTACTCCCCAGACTTCTCCCCGCGTTCTGACGAGGGTTTCGTGGCGACTCCAGCCGTTGCGACGAGCTCCTCCGAGGAGGCCCTCAAAATGCGATCACGATGCGATGTAGAAGTGTCGTCATTTTTCCGCATCTCAGAAATCAGAACTCTAACTAACTGTCTAAACAAAGCAAAGTCGGAGGTCCATGCTGAGTTCTTGGATCGGCGCTGGACCCTCTTGGCGGTGCCCCTTGCGCCGATCCAAGAAGTCCGTTCGGACACTCGACCGTGTACTTTGTGCCGTATGTTCTTCCTCTAGAAACGGAGGCTTTTTTATAAGCCAGGGCACTCACGCGTTCAAGAACACTGCAGCGTGGGTCGAAACATACTCCACTCTTTTATTCGTTCTCTCCAGGCGGGGTTTTCAAAACCCTTGTCCGCAACACGTCTTGCTATATGAAGGGGCCTGGCAGATGCTGAGGTGAGCAACTCTTTGGAGTCAGGAGGGGCTCCGGTTTTCCGGCCAGTCAGGGATCCTCATCGTGGTCGACGGTGCTGAGCTGAGGACCTCGTCGGGTTCAGGAGGGGTTCTGGTTTTCGTGCTGGGTCAGGGTCCTCCTCATGGGTGAGGCTCACCATTGCCAGAAAGGCTGTTTCGTTTCTTGACTTCGGCGGCGCGCCTGGGGGGGAGGGGGGGAAGTGAGACGGGGCTCAGGTCACCACGTTGTGCATTCTGGCCCGATCGGCGGACTAGCTCCACCCTGCCGCGGACTTCCTTGTCCGAGGCTCCCCCGAAGGCACAGAACACTCTCCGGGAGGCGCGAGGGCTGCTGAGAAGCCCCGCCGCCTTCCGAGAGGGCTCTTCTCCGTCTCGCTTTCCTCCCCCTCGCTCGCCGCCGATGGATCTGGCGTTCTTCGTGGCGGCACGACTGCCTGTGTGAGGCGAGGGGAGGGAGGGCATGCCGGCAGTGCGGAGTGAGGAGAGGGGGCGCACGGCTGCGAGTTGTGCCCAGCAAAGGTCGCATGGGATTTCTCGGCGAAGTGAGAACGGGGGTTCTGTGCCCGGTTAATTGTGTCTATGTGCTGTCCATTCTGAGAGAAGGGGTGGGCCGTCGCAGCGGTCGAGCTCCTCGCTTTCGCGGTGCTTGCCACGGTGCGGGTGGGCGAAGCTTGGACGGGCCAGCTCGTCTCTGACGTGTCCGACAACGCGAACGTAAAGTCGTGGCTGAGCCATCGATGTGCACGGATCCCCTTGCTGGCAGCGAGCGATGGGGGGAAGTGAGACGGGGTTTCTCAGAAGCCTTCGGGCCTTACCGAAAAGATTTCTCTGCATCCTAGGAAGGCTCGGAAAACCTTTCAGAAGGGCGGGGGGACTTCCGAGCCTTCTGAGAAGGCCCGCCCCCTCTCACTCACCCCGGGCTCGCCGCCGAACTGTCGCATGGTAATCGCGCGGAGCCCTTAATTATGCCCTTCCTGGCTGGCAATGAGACTCGTCCTTCCCCTCCTCGTCCTTCTCCTCATCATCAGGGATCCTCATCCCCCCTCGATCATCAGCGTTGTTGGGGCTCCAATCCGTCAATAAGCCCGCTGCGAAATTCATCAGTTTCCCACTGCTTGGAGGGGACCTTCAGGAACTCTCGCTATTATTTCAAAGCATAGATCGTGTTGCGGGCCCGGGCGACAGCGTCCGTCTTCCTGCTGCTGCTGCTTCGTCCCGCGGCAGTGTGATCCCAGGCCGTTGGCATCGGATCAGGGCCCGTGTGCGTCGATGTGGGCGCCGCACTGGGCTGCGGCCAGCTGCGTCACCACCCTGCGCATCACCGCGGCGTCTGGCTGAGCCCGCACGCGGCGGCGTCTGGTTAGCTTGGCATCGCTCGGACGTGTGCATTTTTCCTCCGGCGAAGGCCATCGAGGAGCATCCTTGATCATTTGGCATTCCACGCACGAAACCGAAAAAAGACACATGGAATGGACGTCCGAGCGATGGCCGATGGCCAGTGACCTGCCCGCTGGCTGGTCAGGTCATCCATGTGCGTCCCAACTTCCCCAGCTGCCGCCCAACCTTCCGCACGCCCCCGCGCCACTGCCCGGGCACCCCCATGGCCATCCAGCCTCATCCACCCCAGATCACGCCAGGCACTCACTTCAACGGCTCGCTCCCTTCATGGAAGGTGGGCGCCGTCAATCCATAGGGCATGTAACCGACGACCGACGTTGATGATGCTGATCACGGTTATGATGATGCTGCTGCTGCTGATGGTGATGATGATGCTGATGATGATGCTGATGGTGATGGTGATGATGATGGTGATGATGATGATGATGACGCTGGTGATGATGGTGTTGGTGGCGGCGTCGGCGGAGGCGGTGGTGGTGGTGATGATGATTATGATGATGATGATGATGATGATGATGATGATGATGATGATGATGATGATGATGGTGATGGTGATGATGATGATGATGATGATGATGATGCTGATGATGATGATGATGGTAGTGGTGGTGGTGGTGGTGATGATGATGGTGATGATTATGATGATGGTGGTGGTGGTGACATTGACGATGCTGCCGCTGCTGATCATGATGATAATGGTTGTGGTGGTGACGATGAGGCTGATCATGATGAGGAGGGTGATGAGGAGGATGCTTCTGATGATTATGATTATGATGTTGGTGATAGTGATATGGTTCTTGGGGATGCTAATGGCGATGACGACGATGATGATGTTGATGATGGTGATACTGCTGATACTGATCATGCTGTCGATGCTGGTTATCATGAAGATGATGACGATGCTGATGCTGTTGATGAAGCTGCTGCTGATGATGGTAATGATGATGATGATGATGATGATGATGATGATGATGATGATGATGATGATGATGATTATGATGATGATGATGATGATGATGATGACGACGACGACGACGACGACGATGATGATGATGATGATGATGATGATGATGATGCTGCTTCTGATGATTAGGAGGATAAACATGCTGTTGCTGCTGATGATAATGATGATGCTGATGGTAATGACGACGTCCATCAGGCCACCTGGTATCTCCAGCCTAACCTCCCACCCAGGGCCCCCCAGAACTCCGATGTACTGCTTTTGTCAACATGTGGTCCCCGAGAGGTCTGGCGCCCTTTCACGGGACCAGTTTTTCATCCCGAGTTGCTTTTGACCATCCCGGGCCTCGGTGAGGGCCCCTGGAGGCTGAACGCTGCCAACGAAGCATTGCTCCTCGTCCTCCGGCGCATAATGGTCGTTACCCGGGCCCTCCCCCGCGTAACAGTAGCGGTCGTGCCGGGAGGGGAGAGGGGCTTGGATCCCCTGCCACAGGGCTACGGCGATCGCAGCGCGCGCACCCCTTCCCCGACGTGCCCTACCCCTTCCACGTGTTTCCGTCACACAGCCCCGCCCCAGGTAACGACTGTTACCAGAAACAGTATATGTCAGCCGCAGCGACCCCACACAGTGATTTGTTTTGCAATTTGCACGGACCAATCTAGGCCTTGCAATGATTGTGGTGCACTCTAACTCGAGGCGGTGCAGTCCATGTGGTCCAATGAGAGCGGTGCAAGGCAATGCAAACCAATGCAACGCAAGGCAGCGCAACGCAAAGGCAATCCAGAGCAAATGCAGAGCAGTGCAGAGCAACGCAACAAGCAGTGCAAAGCACAGCAAAGCCGAGCAGTGCAGAGCGAGGCAACGCAACGGCGGCGCAGGCAGCGGCGATGGACAGCGGCGATGGGCGGCGGCGGCGGGCGACGGGCGGCGGCGGCGGGCGGCGGCGGCGACGGGCGGCGGCGGCGGGCTGGAGGCTTTCTCCGAAGGGCTTAGGCGACCCGTCGTCCTCCTCCTCCTCCTCCTCCTCCTCCTCCTCCTCCTCCTTTTTCGCTCCTCTTCCTCCTCCGTCTCCTCCTCCTCCTCCTCCTCCTCCTCCTCCTCCTCCTCCTCCTCCTCCTCCTCGGGTCGCCTACGGCCCGGGGGGAAACCGTGCACCGCAGTCTCGAACCTCTGGTCCAGATGCCTCCGCAGCGAGAGGAAAGGATGGGCTTGCTGGGAGAGGTCTGGCGCTGCGTCGTGCTGCTGCCGCTCGGAGACCCTGGGGCACGGGCCCCTCTGTTGAACGCAGCCGTCCAGCTTTCGCGCCGAGTACCGCCGAAGACCGTCGGCAGACTGCCGAAGACAGCCGGCAGACCGTGCGAAGACCGCCGAAGGCGGCCCAGGAGCGATGGGTGACAAGAGGCCCATGGTCGAGTGCGTGCCAGTGGGAGGAGGTGGCGCTCGCTGGGAGAGATCTGGCGCCCTGGCATGCTGCTTCGGTGGTCCAGAGGTGAGGACGTGAGGGATGGGGTCCTGAGGGCGAGGTGCCTCACACGATGTAGGCCCGCTCTTGGTTCTCTTCCCATCGAACGGCCTGCGGCCCATCCCGCTACTGTGCCTTGGTTGTGTGTACGCATTGGCGGTCTCTTGGAGCCCTCTTGGCCGTTCTGGGGTCCTCTTGGGCCCAAAGAGTCACGCGGGGAGACGTGGGTGAGCCCAGGGGAGCCGCCACAAACCCCAAGAGTTTTCTGACATTATGGTCGGGCCCCCCAATTGACTCCTTAGGATTGAAGATCGAGGTTCGGGGGATTGGGCAAGTACCTGAGGACACGCCCAGTCCTTGCCTAGCTGCACGGTGGCGGATCCGTAGACCCCAGGACCCCACCCCTTCCTGTCCTTTGGACCCCATCCTTCTCTATCCTCAGGACCCCTGAGTGCCTTCCTATCAATCGGACTGTATGATTTCTTGTTGGATTCTTTCCCGCCCGTAGGACCCCATCCCCCAGGACCCCATCGTTGACCCACCGACTGCTGCTGCCGATCGTGGGGAAATCAGAAGGTACCGATACCGCTGCTCCCCGGACCTCTCCCGGGGTGCGCTCCTGCCAGGAGTTCGAGGCGGGTCCAGCGGTGGCGACGAGGGCACCCAGGGGCGGCAAAGAGGGGGGTGATGACTAGGGGGGGGATATCATGGCGGAGGCCATGACGCCCCTTCTTATTTCATTACGTTCCTGGCCCCCTTTTTGGGCCGCGCACGTGCCGCCGGTCGTGATTTGCACCCCCCCCTCTTATTGGACACCCCCCTCTTGGCCGCTCCCGACAGGAGGCCCACAACGGGGCAAACGGGCGAAGGGGCCCCGCCCCGCCGCAGGAGGGCCCCGACCGCCCCGGCGAGGCCGCCGCGGCGCCCGCCGAGGCGCCCGCCGCCGCGCCCGCGGCGCCGCCGCGCCACGCCCACGAGGCTCGTGCGGGACGAAAGGGGTGGATTGGGAAAGGGGGGGGGGTACGAAATCTGCTGCATGCAGCTGGTTGCAGCCCCACCGAGGGACCCAGTCCTCGATACATGGCCGCCTCCAGCGCCGGAAGGCGCCGGGAAATTCAGCTACGTGAGCTGATTCTCACCCCCCCCCCTTTGCTATCCCCCCCTTTCACCCGACCCGACTCTCGGGATCAGAGGCGACGATTTGGGGGTGGACAGACCTCCTACCCTGACACGTCGATCAAGGAATTGGCCGTTTTAAGTTCGCGAGGGGGCGTCGCGGCCGTCCTTGTTGCGGTTCCAGGGCCGTCGGTTTCGGTCCCAGGCCGTTTTCATTGAGGGGAGGTGTACTAAAGGGAGGTATGTCCACCGCCGAACGATAGGGGCGAATAGCCCAGGGGAGAGCAGTACACGTATCCAGGGGCGCCGATGATCTATGACTTCGGCGAGGCTCCTGGGCGAATGCGTGCAATGCCCGCCCCTGGGCTATTCGCCCTTCTCGTCGCCGCCGAGGGGAGCACTCGGCGGCCACCGCCTGGCGCTTGGGCAGTGGCGAAGCGTCCTGGCTCGCCTAGGGGCCCACAGAGGAATGCTCTAAGAGTCGAGGGAGGCAAAGCCGCCTGGACCGGACAGTTGCCGTTTACTAAGTGGCCTTGGGCGTTTACTAAACAGCCCTGCCCTGCTCGATTCCTTCAGTGGGGGCGTTTGGTAGACGGCTTCGCGTGTCGGGGTGGTCATTCTGGGGTTGGATTTTGTTGTTGCCCTCTTAAGGGCCTTCTGCGGTTTCAACGAGAGGTTCTTAGAACACTTCTGTCTGGGATTGCTTTGTTTTCACGCATCGGGCTTATGTTCTGAGAGCATTGCTTTGTTTCTTGGAGCATTTCTTGGTTCGAAGAACATTCCGTGGTAGGCCTATGGGAATGACGGGACGGTCGGTCCCTGCTCAAGTCGCCACGGGGGTAGCGGGAAGCGGGACCTGGAGGGAAACTCTTGGGTCTAGGCCTCCTAGGTGGTCGTCGAGTCTCACAGGTCGAGGCCTCCCAGATCAGGTCCGAGCAGTCGGGCTCGGATGATCGCGCCGCGTCGCCGATATGTCGGCGAGATGTGTGTGCCGATTTTCTCCGCTGATGGCGTCGATGCATCGCCGACGTCGCCGATGAGTCGCCGATGCATCGGCAATGCAACGCCGATGTATCGCCGGTGCGTCGGCTAATGCGGCGCCATCCTCCCACCTCATGTATTCGCACCGCATCTAGGAGGCCGCTACACAGAAGGGGCTCCCGCGTCCCTCGGCCTTCGTCGCCAAAGCCCCAGCCACCCCGGCCGTGCCACAGGTACCGATGAGTGTCGACAAGCGTGTGGTAGCCGATGGCACAGCGCCGATTGAGCATCGATCAGCGTCGATGATATAGCGCCGATTCGCAAGAGCCAAGAAGATGGCGTGGGAGGCTCCCATGAGCTTCTGCAGAACTCCGCGGGCCCCCAGGGCAGTTGTTTCAACCCGAGTCTTAGGTCGGGCCTGTCCCCCTACGGGGGGATTTTCGACGAAAAATAAGACATACCCGAAACATACCCCAAAAAAGGTCAAAACATGCCCCAAGAATAGTCCCCAGACTATTCTTGGACTACTCTTGGATCATTTCTGTGGCATCTTTCATTTTTCGTCGAAATCCTTGTGTAGGGGGGACGCGCCCGACTTAACTCGAATCGTATCCTTCGCTGCTCGCGGCCCGTCGAGGGCCCCGGCCGGAGGCCGAGCGCGCTCCACGACCGGGGAGGGGGGTCGATCCACAGACTCCGCGCTGGCTCTGTACTTCAAGCAACGGCGAAGCGTCTGGGCCCCACCAAACAATATTCTAAGAACCTTTTGTGGCTTCCACGAAATGTTCTTAGAACAGTTTTGGCGGAGACTGTCTTGTTCTATCACATCGGGTGAATGCTCTAAGGACATTGGTTTTGTTCTTAGAACATTTTTGGGTTCTAGGAACGTTTCGTGGTAGGATTATAGGAATGCTGGGACGGTCGGCCCCTGCTCAAGTGCATGGCATCGCTCGGACGTGCGCATTGTTCCCTCGGCGAGGACAGCAGTCGAGGAGCATCCCTGAGCATTTGGCGAGAAAGCCACGCACAAGAAGCCGACAAAAAGGCACAGGGAATGGACGGCCGAGCGATGGCGAGCGTAACGTTTATGCATCTGCAGTCCTCTCGTCTCCTGTCCCCTTGGCCGCGAGCCCGAGCCCGAGCCCGAGCCCTGCGCCGCAGGATCCGGCGGCAGGGCCAACGACGGCTCCGATGCCGGTGGCGACGAGGACGATGGCGATGTCCACGCTTCGGTGCTGAGGGTGTCTGCTCGGAGGGTCGCGGCAATGGCGGCGATTGGCGACGACGACAATGGCGGTGACCGTCGCCGTCGCCGTCACCGTCGCCGTCGCCGTCGCCGCCGTTGCCGCCGTCGTCGTCGCCGTCGCCGTCGCCGCCGCCGTCGCCGCCGCCGCCGCCGTCGTCGTCGTCGTCGCCGTCGCCGTCGCCGCCGCCGTCGCCGCCGCCGCCGCCGTCGTCGTCGTCGTCGCCGTCGCCGCCGCCGCCGCCGTCGCCGTCGCCGTCGCCGTCGCCGTCGCCGTCGCCGTCGCCGTCGCCGTCGCCGTCGCCGTCGCCGTCGTCGTCGTGATCGTCGTCGTCGTCGTCGTCGTCGTCGTCGTCGTCGTCGTCGTCGTCGTCGTCGTCGCCCGAGCTCATGCCGCAGGCAGCGGCGGCGGCGGCCGCCTCGGCCCCGCCCCCAGCGCGGCCGTGCTCCTCCGCTGGCGCCGACGCCGCCCACGCGCGGAGGCCCTCGAGGAAGGGGGGATGGCCCACCTCGCGCGCGGCGGGCGCAGGGGTTCCGCAGGGTGGGGGCCAAAATCCTTCCCCCGCCTCCCCCCTCTCCCTCCCCCTCTCCTCCTCCCCTCCCCTCCCTTCCCCTCCCCCCCTCCCTCCTCCCCTCCCATACCCCGCCACCCCTCCCCTCCCCTCCCCTCCCTTCCCCTCCCTCTCTCCCTCCCCCTTCTCCCCCTTCCCTCCCCTCCCCTCCCCTCCCCTCATCCCCCCTCCTCCCTTTTGCCCCCCTTTTCCCCTCTCTCCACTCCCTCGGGGCACCTCCCGCCCTCCCTCCCCCCTCCCTCCGCCCCTTCCCCTCCTCCCCCCCCCTCCCCCCCCCCTCCGCCACCTCCTCGGTCGACATCCCCTGTTACTCCCTCCCCTCCTTCGGTGCACCTCCCTCCCCCCCTCCCCATCCCCTCTCCCTCGGCCGCAGGGCGCCCTCTTCGCATGGTGGAGGACGCGTGGGAGACCGGGTCCTCCTCGATGCGATCCGGCCCGGGGGCCTCGAACTCTGTCGTGGGATCTCGGAGGCTCTCCGCCGAGATTTTCAAGCGTTTCCGTCTCGTGGATGTTTCCAGCGTTCTCGTCGGTTCTTGCAGCTTTCTCGCTTTGGGGGTGCGTTCCAGCAGCTATGCGCCTCGCCGAGGGCGCTCGCGGGGGGGCCCAGATCACCCCACACGGCCGCGGGAGGCTCGAGCTGCAGGCGAGAAGCCGTGCAAGTCGGGGGTGCGCTTGCTCTCGGGCGACATGGAAAGGGCCCGGTGCACCGAAACTGCAGCATCAGGATGTTCCATCCGTTCCCCAATCAGTGCTTGCGCTGAAGGGTTCCTATTGGAAACTCCCCGATCAGTGCTTGCACTGAAGGGGTCCTGGTGGGAGTTAAGAGATTTGGCGACAGTGTCCAGCCGATTTTGGTAGCAGGCTGGGTTCCTGGTTCCGGGTTCCCGGGTTCTTGGTCATTGGTTCCGGGCCGATTTCGGTGGGTTCCGGGTTCCCGGGTTCGCGGTCGATCTCCTTAACCGCATGCCGATGATAGTAAAGGGACCCCCCCCCTTCAGTGTTTAGAGTTGATTATCGTCGCCCTATACAAAATTCAAATTGGGCGGCGAGCGCTGAGGCCGAACTTCATTATCACCTCGAAACGCTATGTTGAGATAGCAACATCAAGCGATGTTGATATAGCAACATCAAGCGAAGCGATCACACTTTTTCAGGATGTGTCAAGCGAAACCAATAATTTTGGGAGGCAGACTCAAACGAAACGAGCAATGTTCTTATTATTATTATACTTTCCTCTTCTTCTTTTATATTTCTATCTGTCCTCACGCTCGCCTGAACTTTTTTATCACTGGGGTTGATTATCCATGGAAAATGAAGCACATGAGCTACCCTACACGAGCACTTAAAAACATCAATTTTCATAAAGCGTTTGTAAATTCAAATTGATAGATTTGGATCTTTGGATTTTTCCTTTCTTCGTCCTCTTCTTATTATCCTCTTCTTCTTCTTTCTTATTATTCTTCTACTGTATTCTTCTTCTTTTATATTTCTCTCTGCCCCCACGCTCGCCTGAACTTTTTTATCTCTGGGGTTGATTATCCATTGAAATTGAGGCACATGAGCTACCCTACACGAGCACTTACAAAAAAAACAATTTTCATGAGAGATAAGCCATTGTTGAGGATATTTCTATGAAAACTAAACGCCAAGGATGTCTCAAAACGTGCTCGGCTTGGTCTCCTCTTGATTATCTTAGTTCGAGATTATGCTGAGGTCTGCTGGGCTACTTTTATTATCTCTCCCTGAACCCCGAACTTTATTATCCCCTAGTGTTTATTCTCACGGGCATGAGGTTATCGATGTGTTTATCGATCCCACGATCAAGCCATCCATTGATTTGTGATTTTCTCTGGTGTAATAATGTTACATCTATTGTTTAGCTATGATCACGAGCATCAAAGAAGCATTGATTCTGGACCTGTTTCACGTGTCGGACCCCAGGTGGCGCTATCCGTTCGGCACCTCGCCAGCGTGTCGGGCAGACAATGTTTCGATGCTGTTCGGGGTGCTCGAAATCATTTCTGGGATGTGGTCCTCAAGTGCGACGGGATCTTGGGCACCAGGCGTGGCTGTCCCCGGAGACCCGAGCTGCAGCCCGAGAGCCGCACGACCCCCGGCTGAGGGACCCCACCTCGCGCCCGGCGAGCGCGAAGTCCACGCGCGAGAGCCAGGCCCTGTCTCGGGTGCGGTCAAGAGGGGGGGTGATGACTAGGGTGTGTGCGGGTGTGTCTGTGTGTGTATGCGTGTGCGGGTGTGTCTGTGTGTGTATGCGTGTGCGTGCGCGTGTGCGTGTGTGTGTGTCTGTGTGTGTGTGTGTGCGTGCGTGCGTAAGTGCGTGCGTGCGTGCGTGCGTGCGTGCGCGCGTGCGTGCTTGCGTGCGTGCGTGCGCGCGTGCGTGCGTGAGTGCGTGCGTGCGTGCGTGCGCGCGCGTGCGTGCGTGCGTGCGTGCGTGCGGGTGCGGGTGCGGGTGTGTGTGTGTGTGTGCGTGTGTGTGTGTGCGTGTGTGTGTGTGCGTGTGCGTGCGTGTGTGTGTGTGCGTGTGTGGGTATCATGGCCCGCCCTAGTCCCTTTTCCTCATCTTGCACGCCGGCCAATTCGCCTTCCGGTCGCCCCGAATCGCCACCCGCTGGAGCAGCTTCACTGCTTCTCCGCTGACGGAAAAAGTGTGCGGGGGTATCATCTGCACGAGCGAAATGGGCACGGAAAGAATGGGTACAATGCCCAACAGCGGATCTTGCCCATTTTGAACAGGACTCGCTGTCCACGCCGCCGCGGCCTGTGTCCATTCGAGGCAGAAGGCCGCCTGCCCAACAGCGGCCGCTGTTGGTTTGGGACAACATTTGATGTTGGGTACTGTACCCATTCTTTCCGTACCCATTCCGGGCGTCCAAATATCATGGCCAGGGAGAGTCAGAGGTGGATAGACCTCCTACCTTGACACGTCGATTAGTGAATTGTCCGTTTTCGGTTCTCGAGAGGGCGCCGTGGCCGTTAATTTTCCAGGCTCGCGCCCGCCAGGTTTGGGCCCGAAGTAGTTTTCGCTAAACCACGTTTTACTAAAGGGGGGTCTGTCCATCCCCGAATCCATGGCCAGGGAGAGGACATCTCCCCAGATTCCATTGTACGTCTTCTCACGCTCTGCCTGGGCCCCCCCCCCCCGGGGCCGCGCCCGTGCCTCGGGCCATGAATCTGCGAGCTCCCCTGTCGGACGCCCCCCCTCTCGGACTCCCCCGCATCTCTGGAGGGCAAAGCAACAACTGCATTGACCTTACGTCGGGCCTGCCCCTCTACAGGGGGAAGATTCAAAAACAGTCAAGACCAGTCGGGGGACTGTGTTTTGAGTATAGCACCCCTCGCGAGGCCCAGAGGGCCCCAGGGGCTCAAGAAGGGAGCGAAAAGCTGGGGGCCCCTTGGGCCAGGGGCGCCCTTGGAGCACTCCCCGACTCTGGGGAGGGAGGGGCGCGATCAGGCTGCGGCGGCGGGCGGACGCCTGCCCCCTCGGCGCGCCGCCGATGCGGCGATGCCCCGCCGCGGTCCTGGCGCCCCCCCCCGGGGCCCCGGGGAGCGCAGCCCACGGCGCGCGGAAGCCATGGCGAGCGAGGTTCTTTCGATCGATCCTCGAGCCTCCGCCTCTCGAGCCTCCGCCTCTCGATCCTCGATCTTGGCCCGACCCCGCCGCGGCCGCGGCGCGCGCAGGACGCGGGCGGCGCGGCGCGTGGACTGCGTGGCCGCGGGCGCTCCGCGGCCCGAGGAGGGCGCCGCCGCGCAGCAGCCCCCAGCGCCGGCGCGCGAGGGCGGCGCGGGCTGTCCCAACTCGAAGCAGATCGTCAACTCGTGAGATCTGGTGCGAACGAAGGTCGTCGTCGTCGTCGTCGTCGTCGTCGTCGTCGATTCGATTCGATTCGGCGGTTCGCTTCTCAGGGGACTCCAGCCCGCCCAGCCTTGCCGATCATAGCGGGACCAGCCCCGGCCAAGATTGCCCACATCGGCCCCGGGATTGGTGCCAGTGGTCGCTTCCTGGGGTCAATCCTGGGCAGTTGTAAGCCCGTGCCCCAGGGGTCCGGCTGTGGGGCTGGCGAGGGTCAGCTCTCTGACAGGAGTCAGAAGCGAAAGAAGGATGTACACGTAATCTCAGGAGGCTTTTAGTTTTGTCCCCCCCCCACCCCCACCCCCACCCCACCCCCCCCTGCGGGGAACAAACTTGCCCCTCGTCCTCCTCCCCCTCCTCCGCCTCCTCTTCCTACGTCTCCTCCTCCTCCTCCTCCTCCTCCAAACTTGCCCCTCGTCCTCCTCCTCCTCCTCCAAACTTGCCCCTCGTCCTCCTCCCCCTCCTCCGCCTCCTCTTCCTACGTCTCCTCCTTCTCCTCCTCCTCCTCCTCCTCCTCCTCCTCCTCCTCCTCCTCCTCCCCCTCCCCCCCTCCTCCTTCACCAGCTCCTCCTCCTCGTCCTCCTGCTGCTCCTCGTGGTCGTTATCGTAGTCGTCGTCGTCGTCGTCGTGATCGTCGTTGTCGCGGCGGAGGTTATCCCAGGGACAAATCCATAGTGGGCAACCCTACACGCGAGAGGATTTGTGGGCATCCGTCATGCGTATTGTAATGGGAATCAGTGGTTGTGGTTGTAAATGTAGTCGTATATCCAATCGTGATTTGACGCGTGATTATGGTCGTGATTATATTTGTAATCGCAGTCGTGGTTGCAGTCGCAATCGTAGTCGCAACCGTAGCCGTCGTCGTCGCGGCGGGGATTATTTCCAATTCTTCTTGGGCGGGTTGGACAATGTTGGGTGGTGATTCCACCGAGGGGATTATCCATTGTGGGCTACCCTGCCTTCGAGGAGATTTGTGAGCATCTTTTCATGAGCATTGCAACAGGAACCGGTGATTGCTGTTGTAGTCGTGATTGTAGTCGTGAGTGTAGTCGTGGATGTAATCTTGATTCTAACCGTGATTGTAGTCGCTATTGTTGTCGTAATCGCAGTCGCGGTTGTAGTCGTAATTTTAGTTGTAATCGTCGTCGTACTGTGGTCGTAGTCGTAATCGTAGGCGTTACCGTCGTCGTCGTTGTTGTGCGGCGGGTGCCGCGGATCAATGTTTACCTTCTGCTATTGGTTGCGCCCCAGTCCGTCAATAGGGGCGTCGAACCGATAATTCGTTTCCACTGGTGGGGGGTTCCAAAGACTTGTACACATTACCTGAGTCCACGTTGGTTCCGAGAGTGCGCATCGCGCGGGCGTTCGTATCACGCGGCCGGTCTTGCGGATTGGACGGCCGTGATCATGTACACGGTTGGACGCGCGCGTCCTCTGCGGGCTCCCCATCAGAGTGACCCCTCGCTGGCGCGACCTTTGGTGGGGGCATACTGGGGCCCCGCCAGTGCGGGATGGCGCTCTGGGATTGCGTCAATGTGGCCTTTCCCGCGGCCCCGCTTGAGCCGCGCATCAAAACTTGACTTCTCGAAGCTCCGCGTGGGCTTCTGGGATCGGATCCCGAATCGGAGATCTAGGCCTCCCAGTTCGTGCGCGCGCCGCAGCCCCTGGCGCCGGCGCGCGAGGGCGGCGGGGGTGTCTCAAAGATCCCCATCGAGCCATACGAAATGTCGCGACACAAGGCTTTTACTCTTTCCGACCTCCGGGGGCCCTTACCGGGCCCAGGGGTCGTCTAAAAACGAGTCGCTGCGCTTCGTGGCCATTCTGCTCCCACGCAAAGAGGCCATCAGGCGCAGAAGGCATACGTCCAGGCAACTGTTGCGCATATGATGTCTGGTCGCAGAAGCTAGCCATGTCTCGAATGAGAGCCCAATTTGTGAAAAAGAGCTGCCCTCCATCAGAGTGCATGTTGCACCAGATCAGGTTTTTGGGAATCACGTCGAGCAGACTCTCGCGGGAGAACCCCTTTCTGAAAGCGAGCGCCCTTCATCTTCGTAGCTACAGGGTTCCTATCAGCGAGTGTGCGCGGCGCTCAGACGAGATTCCTATTGGGGAAACGGTTCGTCCTCCATTCGTGTAATTGACGGGATTGTTTAAGACGAGTGTGCGTTGCGCTAAGGCGAGTGTACCAGTTTGATAACGCCACGCCTCCACATACTCTCTTCGCCTGCTGTGTGCGTTGCCAGGGCGGGAACTTAGGGGGAAATGACTCGCCCCGCTGGCATTGTTGAGTTCAAGGCTGGTGTGCGCCTCGCCAATGCGAGAGCATCATGTTGAAAACGACCCGAACTCGACCCGCGTAGCTGTCGACAATTGCTAGGTTCGACATCGCAAACGGTTATGAAGTCTCTTTCGAAACGCACGGCCCGCGCTGAGGGCACGTCCAGTGGTGCAGTAGGGAGGAGTTACTGTTAACGCTTCGCGCATCCCCACCAGCCCATCCGGACGCGATGCCCGGCGGAGGGGGATGTCATCGTTTTGAGATTTGGGGGGGCTGTGTGGGCCAGAGGTCCCGTGGATACCCCCATGGGTCTTCTGGAGTGTCTCTTGAGGCCTCGTAGAGGCATCTTGAGGCGTTTTGGGGGCGTCTTGCCGGCTCTTGAGGAGCCTCTTGGAGCGTCTTGGGTGCCTCTCGGGGGCCTCTTCGGGCCTCTAGTGGCTCTCTTGAAGGTTTTTCGGTCTGCCTTGTGGCCATTCGAGAGGCTAATTATCGATCAGAGAAAAGCCCAATTCGGCCCCCCTCCCCCAGGAACACAAGTTGGCACGACATCTCAGGACATTCAATATTTTGTGTCTTCTCGCTGAGGCCCTTCTTGAACGCTCTAACGATCGGCGGGGCGCCCCGTAAAAACTCAGGGGTCGGGGGTAGGCAGAGGGGGTAAGCCCTTCCCCGATTGGGAAGAAGGGTGTTGGAGCCCTGAACCGGAAGAGGGATGGAGGATGACGTGGACGAAGAGGGGCAGAGCGAGGACGATGAGCAGGGCGAGGGAAACAGCCAAGAGGAATAGAAGGAGGAGGAGGAGGCGGGGGAGGAGCAGGGAGAAGGAGGAGGAGGAGGCAAAGGAATAGGAATAGGACGAGGAAGAGGAGGAGGAGGAGGAGGAGGAGGGAGGATGAGGATGGTTGGAAGAAGATGATGATGCTGCTGATGTTGCTGCTGCTGCAGATGATGATGATGCTGATGATGATGCTGGTGATGCTGATGTTGATGCTCATGCTGATACTGATGCTGATGCTGATGATGATGCTGCTAATGATGATGATTCTGATAAGGATGGGGATGAGGCTGAGGATGAGGATGAGGATGAGGATGATGATGAGGATGAGGAGGATGATGATGCTGCTGATGCTGATGCTGATGATGATGACGATGATGATTATGATGATGGTGATGATAATGATGACGATACTGATGATGATGATAATGATGATGATGATACTGATGATGCTGATGATGCTGATGCTGATGCTGATGATGACGATGCTGATTATGATGATGATGGTGATGATAATGATGACGATGCTGCTGATGATGATGAGAATGCTGCTGATGATGATGGTGGTGCTGGTGGTGAAGTTGGTGGTGGTGGTTGGGGTGGTGGTGGTGGTGATGATGACGATGATGATGCTGCTGATGATGACGATGATGACGATGACGATGATGATGATGACGATGATGACGATGACGATGATGATGATGATGATGATCATGATGATCATGATGATGATGATGATGATGATGGTGATGATGATGATGATGATGATGATGACGATGATGATGATGATGATGCTGATGATGATGATGATGATGATGATGATCATCATGATCATGATCATGATCATGAGCCATCATGGTGATCATGAGGAGGAGGAGGCGGAGGAGGAGGAGTTGCAGGGCAGGAGGAGGAGGCGGAGGCGCAGGAGGAGGAGGGAGAGGAAGCGCAGGAGGAGGAGGGAGAGGAAGATGGGGAGGACGACGACGAGGAACCACGAGGCTGCTGCGGAGGAGGGACGGCGGGCGGCGGAGGCGAGCCCCCGCCCTCCCGCGGGCGCGCTCCCGCCCCTTCAGGCCCGCGGGCGCCCCCGGCGGCCCCGCTGGGCCCCGTCCGGCCCCCCCGGCCAGCCTCGCCGGCGGCGCTGAAGGCGCGGGCCGCCGCGGACCGCACCGGGGCTCGTTGCGATTCGATTCGGCCTCGATTGGGGACCCCAAAGAATATACACCACCACCACGTCGATTCCTCCTCTCTCCTCTGCCCTCCTCTTCCTTTCCTCTTTCCTGGGAGAGGGAGGGGGTGAGGGAGGTGGTGGTGGTATGTATATTATTATTGTGCCCCCCATCGATGACTTGCGATACCGATTCGATTCGACTTCGGGTTTCGAGTTGGATTCCGATCTCTCGGCTTGGCATCGGACGGACGTGTGCCTTTTGCTTTCGGCGAGGACCATCGAGGAGCACCCTTGTTCGTTTGGCGAAAAAGCCACGCGCGAAACCGAAAAACGCAGAGGGAATGGACGTCCGAGCGATGGCCAGACTTGCGATTCCGATTCGATTCGACTTCGGGTTTCCAGTCGGATTCCGATCTCTCCGCGGTGTCCCGCCGGCCTGCCGATTTCCGCGGGTGCGGCTTCTCCCGGCGCGGCTGCCGATGCTCGCCGGTCCCACTCAGGTAGATCGTGCGGGACGGGAAACTGACCACAGCCACTGCTTCTTGTTTGCGCCGACTTCCAGCCGGCCGAAGAAGAAGCAGTGGTCGTGGTCATATTCCTGGTGCCAAACTCAACGAAAATGGCCACAACCACTGCTTCGTTTCTGCTGGCTGGAAGGCGGCAACACAGGAAAAGCAGTGGCTGTGGTCGTTTTCACGTCCCGTAGGTAGATCGCCGATCCGACTTGTCGATTCGATGCTGGGTTCTCCTGCACATCGAGCGAGGCAGAAGTGTTCGGCGGAAGCGCTCAGGCAGGAGCGTTCCGCAGAGGGGCGCCCCGCATCAGTCGGAGTTGGAGGCAGAAGAGGTGGTGGAGGAGGAGGAGGAGGAGGAGGAGAAGGAGCAGGAGGGAGAGGGGTAGCAGAGGAGGAGGAGGAGGAGGAGGAGGAGGAGGTAGCAGAGGAGGAGGTAGCAGAGGAGGAGGTAGCAGAGGAGGAGGAGGAGGAGGAGGAGGAGGAGGAGGAGGAGGAGGAGGGGGGGGAGAAGGAGCAGGAGGGAGAGGAGGTAGCAGAGGAGAATGCGGGGCTCTTCTGACATCGCTGGGGGCGTTCCAGAAGTCGAGGGACAGAAGGCGGCGTAAACGTAAGCTTTCGATGCTCCGCGCGGATTTCTTGGATCGGCGCTGGGCTCATTTGGCGGCGCCTCTGGCGCCGCTCCTGGGGTGCTTCGCGCGCCAGGGGTCGCGCGCCAGGGAGGGGGGTCCAGCGCCGATTCAAGAGAACCGCGCGGAGATTCGCGTTCATGCTCTTTTGCTGCTCAAATAAAGGGCCTCGCCTTCGAGGATCGGAGGAGCAGCCATTCCTTTCTCGGCGGAAGGGCGGCGGGAGGTCGGTGTGGTAGGCGGCGGAAAAGCAAAAGGGGGGCGGCTCCGCCAGCGAATAAGGCCGGCCGAAGGCTGGCGGAGGTAAGCGATGTGTGCCCCCAAGGGATGGATCACGTAAGCGAGGGCGACGAGGTAAACGAGGGGGTAAACGATGCAAACGAGGGCTCATCTCGATTCTTTCGGAGGAGCAAAACGGCATAAACATAGTCGTTTTGGCGCTCCGCGCGGATTTCTTGGATCCGCGCTGGGCCCCCGCCCCGGCGGCGCCTCCGGCGCCGCCCCTGGCGCGCTTCGCACGCCAAGGAGAGGGGGTCCAGCGCAGATCCAAGAAACCCGCGCGGAGCGCCAAAAGTTTTTGTTTATGGCATTGCTTTCATCTTCAATCATGCAAGCGAGGGCAACGACGTGAACGAGGAGGTGAACGATGTAAACGAGGGCTCATTTCGATTCCTCCGATTCAATTCGATTCGAGTTCATTCTTCCGATTCCGATCCGAGTTGAGTTCGGCTTCCGATTTTGATAAATCGATCGCCGATCCGTTTCATAGATCTGTTTTTTAGTCGTTTGGTCGCATTGCCGATTGTGATGAGCAGGACTGTCGTGGTTGGTACTGCGATGAGGGTTACCTTGTGATTGTCACCCATCAGCGCGGCTGGCGCGCCATGCGAGACGTCGGCCCTGCGCTTTTCTGGAGCCCGCGTGATCTCGGTGCACCCGCGGATCACCTCGTAAGTGCAGCCAGCCACGCAAGCAGTCAGCTCCTGGGCCTGGCCAGACGCAGACCTAAGTGAGAGTGGCGAGCAGCCAGGCTGTCACAAATCTGCATCGTCGCAGGCGAGCAGGCAGAGACCGCAAGGGTGGTTGCTCCGGTTTCGAGGCGCACGCGCGCATGCCGGATGGGTGCCATCGTCCGTTCCGTAGTGTCTCGTCCTGTGCGCGGTGGGGGTTCGGCTCTCCAGGCAGAAACGTCCAGCACCTGACCGGACACTACCGTAATGCTTGTTTTTTGCAGGCGAGCGCACGTAACCACTCAGTGCCGGAGTCACCCGTTTCTGACCCTTCAGGTCCCCACGACGAGCCGAGATCTTCTTTTTGTTTCCCTCCGTGTTTTTTGTTTTTTTCCCAACCATCCTGTGGTGTTGGGTCCTCGTTTTGAAGAGACGGTGCCCCGCGTCTCCTTCCTCCTTCCTCCTCCTCCTCCTCCCTCCTCCCCCTCTTCCCTGCGTTTCACCCACCCAGTACAGCGTTTCGTAGCCCCATAGGAGCTCCGCCGAAGGCCCCAGTGCTGCCGTCCGCATGCGTCCCGCACACCCATTTCGGCACACCCCTCACACGTTTCGTGGCCCCATAGGGAGCTCCACCGAAGGCCCCATGGCTGCCGTCCGCATGCGTCCCGCACACCCATTTCGGCACACCCCTCACACGTTTCGTGGCCCCACAGGGAGCTCCACCGAAGGCCCCAGTGCTGCCGTCCGCATGCGTCCCGCACACCCATTTCGGCACACCCCTCACACGTTTCGTGGCCCCATAGGGAGCTCCACCGAAGGCCCCATGGCCGTCCGCATGCGTCCCGCACACCCATTCGGCACACCCCTCACACGTTTCGTGGCCCCATAGGGAGCTCCACCGAAGGCCCCAGTGCTGCGTCCGCATGCGTCCCGCACACCCATTTCGGCACACCCCTCACACGTTTCGTGGCCCCACCGTTTCCGTGCGTCCCGCATTTCGGCAGGGAGCTCCACCGAAGGCCCCATGGCGCCCGTCCGGCATGGCTGCCGTCCGCATGCGTCCCGCACACCCATTTCGGCACACCCCTCACACGTTTCGTGGCCCCACAGGGAGCTCCACCGAAGGCCCCAGTGCTGCCGTCCGCATGCGTCCCGCACACCCATTTCGGCACACCCCTCACACGTTTCGTGGCCCCATAGGGAGCTCCACCGAAGGCCCCATGGCTGCCGTCCGCATGCGTCCCGCACACCCATTTCGGCACACCCCTCACACGTTTCGTGGCCCCACAGGGAGCTCCACCGAAGGCCCCAGTGCTGCCGTCCGCATGCGTCCCGCACACCCATTTCGGCACACCCCTCACACGTTTCGTGGCCCCATAGGGAGCTCCACCGAAGGCCCCATGGCTGCCGTCCGCATGCGTCCCGCACACCCATTTCGGCACACCCCTCACACGTTTCGTGGCCCCACAGGGAGCTCCACCGAAGGCCCCAGTGCTGCCGTCTGCATGCGTCCCGCACACCCATTTCGGCACACCCCTCACACGTTTCGTGGCCCATAGGGAGCTCCACCGAAGGCCCCATGGCTGCCGTCCGCATGCGTCCCGCACACCCATTTCGGCACACCCCTCACACGTTTCGTGGCCCCACAGGGAGCTCCACCGAAGGCCCCAGTGCTGCCGTCCGCATGCGTCCCGCACACCCATTTCGGCACACCCCTCACACGTTTCGTGGCCCCATAGGGAGCTCCACCGAAGGCCCCATGGCTGCCGTCCGCATGCGTCCCGCACACCCATTTCGGCACACCCCTCACACGTTTCGTGGCCCCACAGGGAGCTCCACCGAAGGCCCCAGTGCTGCCGTCCGCATGCGTCCCGCACACCCATTTCGGCACACCCCTCACACGTTTCGTGGCCCCATAGGGAGCTCCACCGAAGGCCCCATGGCTGCCGTCCGCATGCGTCCCGCACACCCATTTCGGCACACCCCTCACACGTTTCGTGGCCCCACAGGGAGCTCCACCGAAGGCCCCAGTGCTGCCGTCCGCATGCGTCCCGCACACCCATTTCGGCACACCCCTCACACGTTTCGTGGCCCCATAGGGAGCTCCACCGAAGGCCCCATGGCTGCCGTCCGCATGCGTCCCGCACACCCATTTCGGCACACCCCTCACACGTTTCGTGGCCCCACAGGGAGCTCCACCGAAGGCCCCAGTGCTGCCGTCCGCATGCGTCCCGCACACCAGGTGTGTGGCGTGCCGACATGGGCGTCGCGGCGCGCGGGCGCTGCCGTCGGGGTTCCCAGGGAAGCCCCCTGCAGAGGCGACGCTCAGAGTCACGAGTACCGAGAGTCACGCAGACCCAAACTGTTGCTAATGTCAATGGTAATGTTGACGATCGCCATGGACACTGTCTCTCAAGCCTTTTTCTGTCCGGACAAGGATGCCGGTCGACCCGTCCGCAGTCGCCTGTGCCTTCTCCATAGGCTCATTCTGCCTGCTGGCCCGCTCCGCGCCGCCGGCGCCCATCTGCGGTTGCCAGTGCGACTGCGGGTCTCCTGGCTGGTCCACCGCCCAGCTGCTCGCCGTCGCGGCGGGGCAGCTTGTGACGGGCTGGTTCGCGGCCCGCTGGTGGGCGCCACCGAGGCCGGCGTCGCCGCTCGTGGTGGCCGCAGGGCTGGAAGGGATCAAGCAGCTGACGCTGCCGGCGGGGGCTCGCGGCCGGCTTGAGGGTGGGGCGCCACCGTCCGCCTGATGGCAGATGACCTCGCGGTGGCCGCCGGAAGGCGCTTCTGGGCCCTGTTCGACGCGTCGGAGGGGGTCTGGCACGAGCGCCTGGTGCTGCGGCGCACCGTCGGGGGCCACGTGGTGCTCACGCCCGACGGCGA